AGCAACTTTTCTTGCATCCTGAAATAACAAAATCTTCTCCCATGAATCCTTGTTGTCTGATACTGTATTGAGCTTATTTGTTTTTTTAAAAATAGAAAACCCTTTAAATGTGACTCAACAGAGATGCAGCACTGACTGGGATATTTTGGAGAACAACAGACAGTGGGCCCCAGCTGGGGTGGGGTGGATGGGGTCAAGAACCCTTGATCTCTGCTCCTGGAACAAGACTGAAGTAACAGTGTTCTTATCTCTGGCTTAAGAGTAACATAAGCACACCCTCACAGTGAGCATTTGGTACTACCATGTATGTGATTTGTGCTGTTTAAATCTCTAGATTCCAGATGGGACTGGTTTAAGTGTCCACCAGGGCCTTACACTAGAAGTTGTCTTGCCCCAGGCCTGGTTACCTGGGGTGATACATGAAAGGGGAGTGAGGATCTGATTTAGGCATGCATGCTAGATAGGTCAGGCTCTAACTGGACCCACAAATTTAAAGCTATTTCTCATGGAAGTGAGTGATTCAGTGTCTGTAGAGACTTCAATAGCCCCACCCATCATTAATTCCACTGGGCTGTGGGTGAGCTCCTCATGAGCAGGAAGGAAGCAGAGTTCAGTAAAAAGGGTTCAGTTAAAAAGCACATCTGTCTGACAGTGTCACATTAGTTGTGATAACACTCGGAAATATCATAGTACTTTCATGGTGTGTGTATCACTTAATTTTTTATGGGCATGTGATGTCATAAATCAAAATATACATATTATAGGACCACTGAAAAGTGTTACAAGATTCCTTCATTTTACTCTACTGATCCACGCCTGTGAATCCCTCCTCATCCTTCTCTTAAAATCAAACCACCCAAATGGTGAACAGAATACGCTGAGATGAAGGATAACTGACTGGTACCATTTTCTTCCCATTCTGACCATCTCATTCACAAGCTACAAGTAAAGTTACTTATCTGATAATGGACAAACTTCCAAGAAAGGAGGAAAAGCTTACTTCTTAATCTCATCTTCTACTGCATTAACTCCTTCAGTTTGTGGATTCTGGAATTTGTTGGTGGCACTGCCAAAGTCACACAGGACATAGTGGCCTCTGTCATGCAAGAGGATATTTTCAACCTGAAAAACATTCCCCAAAATCCCATTTCAAGATATTGTTTAGTACTGCATTTGAAAATGTGCTTTTACAGTCACATAAATAAAATATTTTATTTCTGGCAACCTTGTTAGTGTGTACAGGTAAGTTATTCCCCATCGAGCATCTCAACAGGGGCCATCCCAAGTGGAACAAAATGAGAGGCACAGGAACAGAGTGAAATGAGGACAGAAAGGGCAAAGAGGGAACAGTGGGGGAAGCCAGAGTTCCATTTTTCCAAATTTCCAGTCACGTTTCTCACCTCTGCAGAGATCTCATACGTTTGAGCTCTTACTCTTCTTTCATTCTGGAATGCTCTCCATGATTCCCCACCTTCCTATCCAATTACTAAATTATCAGTTGTCTTTCTTTTTTTTTTTTAATATTTATTTATTTATTTTTTTTTTAGTTCTCGGCGGACACAACATCTTTGTTTGTATGTGGTGCTGAGGATCGAACCCAGGCCGCACGCATGCCAGGCGAGCGTGCTACCACTTGAGCCACATCCCCAGCCCAATCAGTTGTCTTTCAAACCCAAGTTCAAAGATAACTTCCTTTTTGAATTTTCCCCCCATTCAGACAAATGTCACTCCTTCCTTATTTTCCTTCAGTACCTCATTCTCCCACGATGTCAATTACTTCACCTGGACATTTAATAATGTCTTTAAAAATCAATCAATCAATGTCTTTACTAGGTTAGGATTTTCAGAATTGGTATTTTTTATATTTTAATTACTTCTCAAAGTAATAAAATGCCTAATGGTAAGTGGGAGTTTCCCTGTTAAAATATTACCATCCTGTATTTTTGTTTTTCTATAAATGAAATATTTGGGCAGTGAGGAGTTCTAAGTTAGCAGGGAATTTATAAGAACCAAAACCTAGAGAAATCCCAGGTATCAAAGGCCTCTTTCTATGAAAACAACTCCAAAATAGAGGGCACTGTGTTCTCAAGATGAATTCCTGGTGTAGGAAAACTGAGCTGACTGGTGTGCTGGAGGACAGACCTGGCTATGCGTGGGCAGTAAAATGGCAGCCAAAATATCTTGTTAGGCCAATAAGACTGTAGTCTCCATTGTCTTTTGTCTTCAGCCTTCCAAAGACTGATCACCTTTGGAAAACAAAGGCAAGAGTAGACTATAAGCTCCTTAAAGACAAGCATCACCTCTTAATCATATTTGTCGTCTTCTCTACCCAGTACCTACACATAGGTATAGTATATGCTTAGTATAGAAAATGTTTGTTGAATGGAGTAAGCCAAAAACCAGAATTACACATAACACTGTTTGTATGCATGTGCACATGCACACATGTGTGCACTAGTGCTGTGTACGCACTGGTCTGTTAGAAGAAGTAGAAGTCACCAAAAACCCAGATCCTACCACTACTACTAGTTCTTTTAAAATATCTGGGCAATTATGGTAATCTTACACTTGTTTCTCAATTTTCTTTTAATTCTTATCAACATTAAATTAAGTACATTTTTAGTCTATATCTGTTAATTCCAATTATTTTAAGTCTGTGCTGCAAACTGATTCTGCAATTTATTATTTCTTATTCCTACTGAACTTCACTCATGGTATCACTGTTGTGAGCAGTTTTTTGTTGTTAACTTACATTCCTTAGAATGTCATCTGTAGGAAGTCTTTGAGACCCCTGGGTTTAAGGTGTACTATTCTGCCAGAGAGGACAAGAAGGATAGTGCTGGTGTACCTGGGGACACTACTAACCTACATTTGCTTGATTCTAAAATTTTGATCTTGGCATTAGCCACAGAAGCAGTGAACAAAGCCCATAAACCTCTACAGATACACTCTTATGATAAAGAATTCATAATCACATAACTGAATTAAGAATAACTTGGACATATTTGTTCCCTTGAATTAAGATGGAGGCAGACAAATATTTCTGCTGCCTATAGCTTTTTATAAAGCTCATCTGTTTATTTTATTTACACAAAAAGAAACAGGCTATACTGAGCATGTACTTATTTTAGGAATCTAAAATAGTTCCAACAAAGCAATAATAATGTTTTCAATTTAATTTAGAAGTTATAAAGTAATAGTCACAATTTAATGAGCTTTTACTATTGCCAGTACTACTGTATTTGGCACATGGATTATTCCACTAAATCCTCATAATAACAATGTTATTATTATTACCATATTGTAGATGGAGAAAGTAAGACACTTAAGTCACTTCTAAATGTCATGCAGCAAATATATGGTATAGCTGGGAATTGCTCAAAGCAAACTAACTGTGGATGTGGACAATTAGATTTCTACTAGTGCAAGAAGCAGGTCAAAATAAGAGTGATCACTCAAGGCCCCACACTGACTCTCCAACTATGGTAAGGGTTGTGATGACTTTACACTTGCCCAGTACTTTGGTCTGGGCTTAAGAGTCCAGAAAATGCTCCAACCATAGAATCTAGTCAATGAGGAGCCAAGTGTCTAAACGCTAGCCAGGTTTGCTCAAGGTCTCCCAAGGATTCCTTATATTACCTATTTTTTCTGTTATTTAATTGCTCTCTCTTCAGTCAAATCCCAGATATTTCTCAAGACCTTGCTCAAGTCATAACTTCTCAGAAAAACCTTCCATAACTTCCCTACAAAATCTACAGAATTTAGTGTCAACAGGAGGAGTCATAAAGGCCTTTGGGCAAAGCAAGCCATGCCCATTGGTTACTTATTCTGTAGTCTATGGCTGCTTTTGTCTGACAGCAGAGTTTAACACTTAAAACAGAGACTGTACGGCTGACAAGCTTGAGATATTTACTATCCAGCCCTCTGCAGAAGTTTGCCAACTTTGGTCTATAATGAACACTCAATCATCATTTAGAATTCTTTTGTGGACTGGTATTTAATTTCTTACAAATTATGCTTACTTTCCCAAATAGAGCACAAAACCTTTGAAGCCAGGACATTATACTATACCCATGAATGCTCCACAGTGTCTAATCCAGTACTGTTCTCACACCACAGACCCTTAAATGGTGCTGATAACATCACTTACTCAGCGTCATTGAGCAACAGTCTCCTCCCTGGGCCTTACTGCTCATGTGAAACCAAGCCTCTCCCATTCTATGAGTGTACTCCCTTTCTGAGTTGACTTCTATACTTCTAATGCTGGGATGTACATCTAGAAAACTGGAAAATTAATTCACAGTAAAGCACTAAGAAGGCAGTTGGAGGGACTATAAAACTGCTGTTGTGGGAGGTAGGAAGACTAAGTAGACAAAAAATAAAAAGGAGGCAGACTTGTCCTGATAAGGACAGCAATTGCTGCTCTGGTGCTTTGCGCATTTATGAGAGGATCAAATGAGATTATAAAGGTGAAATCTCTTGGCAGTGGCCACCTTAGCAAGTGGTACAATTTCCACCCATTCTCAATGTGTCCTTTAACTTGTGCTCATTTGGAAACCTCCAAGGTCAACCAATATCACACTAAAACACTCCACAGAGAGCATGGTATATGGTAGCAACACTGGGATTAGGCAGAAAAAACACCTCAAGGATTATTTTTGAGGTTGACCTTGATCAAATGTTTAACCCTTTTTTGAGTGTGTTTCTCATCTGCAACATTAAACTGATAATATTTGTTGTTACAAAGCAACTTAGAAAACGAATGTGAAAGTAAACCACAAATCTCCTCATATAAATATAAGACATTGCTTCCATTCATTTATGAAAGAAATGTGTTTGAATTCCTACTGCAATGCCAAGTACTTTTCTAGGTTTCAGGAAAAACGTGATGAACAAAAGAAAGGCCAACCTCTCATGGGGTTTACTGTCCAGCTGGGGATAATAAGAAATTAATTATAATTGTCTGGTAGTGGCAAATGTTATTTAAAAATTCTAGCAGGCTAAATCTATATAAGGTGAAGAGGGATGTTACTTTAAATAGCAGTTAGGGGACGGTCTCTCTGATGAAGGAAGCAGAGACATGAATAAAGAAGGAGCAGCCATGAACCATCTGACTGAAGAACATTCTGAGCAAAAACCAGTTAGCACCAAGAACCTGATATGGAGGCATGGAGACAGGCCAGTGACAGTGGACTAGCATTGTATTTAGCCTTGGTAGGGGGGGAGGGGGCGTTGAAAACATGGGATAGGTCTATTATCAGCCAGTGCATGGGAAGTTCAGACTGGTGAAAGAGAAAAGAAGAGAGGACCAGAGAAGTAGACAAAGGGAAGTGAGAAGGGTCACTTAGGAGGATAAAGTATTTTTAAGAGGTCAAGAGCACAAACACATAGCCATTTTAGGAAAGTCAGTTTAGTTAAAGTTGAGGGAAAATAAGAGAAAGAAAGTTGGGCATGGGTGCACGCCTGAATCTTAGTGAGGAGGATCCCAAGTTCAAGGGCAGCCTCAGCAATTTAGCAATGCCCTAACCAACTTAGTGACACCCTGTCTCAAAACCAAAAAAAAAAACCTTAAAAAGTGACAGGGGACTGGGGATATAGCTCAGGGGTAAAGTGGTAGAGCACTCCTGGGTTCAAATGAGAACAGGTGCAAATGGTCCAGGTGTGAGGTGAGTAAGGCTGGGTACAGGGTAAGATATATAGTGTAGCTATGGAAAGGGGTAGATGGTGAGGTAAACCACCAAGCGATGTTCATACACTATCTGCCAAACACATCAGAGAACATGCATAGTAATGTCATTTTGGCAAAACCACTTAAGATGTAAGCCAAAGATTTGTTACCACTGCTTATAATCTTCAAATATTTCAGTTCTTTGAGAGATCAATTTTGTCAAACCTTACTTCCCAACCTATGAGCTATTAAAGCTGTCACTCTCAAACTCTGCACATAGTTTTAGCTAAAACATCTAGAAAGCCACCTCTAGTGACTTCATCATGTTCTCCCAAATGGGTACAGCACTGAGGCACTGTAGAGAATTTATTACAACTAGGAAACTTGGATGAACACAGGCCTTCAAACCTGTACTTCCAAAAATGGGACAAGTATCTTCATCCTATTTTACTTG